CACTTACCCTCAAAGTGTGAGAGGGTACAAGCAATAGGGACTGTGGGAGATGCCAGGTAGTCATAGTATTAAGAAGAAAGAGACTTCTGGTCATTGCCCCATTTGGGAGCAAATTCCACCTGGTCCCATGAGCCTTCCTCAGGACAGACTCAACAGTGTCCAGTCTGTACTGTGTAGGCTCTCAGCCTTCACACCTCCAACAGTCGCTGTGGGGAGTAGATGTGGCTGAACTAGGAAGCATTATTTGCAGTGGGTTGCCAGAGAGGAAAGACCAGACAATGCCATGATTTTCAAGCACAGAGAGGTGATAATCAATAAGGAGACTGGGTGGGCATTTTAGTCCTGGATGGCTCACCACAGGTATCATAGGATGACTAGGTCTAGATCCTTATCTTTGATACAGGAAAGGATACAAGGATAAGACACAAGCAAGATATGTTGAAGAATTGAGGTTTACTTGCAGAGTGGAAGTACACACTCTAGGGGGAGTGTGGTTATGCTTGAGAGTGAGCTGTGTTCCATAGGGCTTAGGGTCATCCCATTATGAGATCTGGAAGTGTAGTGGCAGTGTCTATAGTGGGCTTTAATTGAATATTCATAGTGGGTGGGGTTTGGGACAAAGTTTGAACACTGTCCATTTTCTCGCCTTGTTTGGAAGTCTCAGAAGTGTCTTGGTATCAGGTGCATGAATGGAGTAGAAGTGTTACCTATGGCACATTTATTATGGTGATATTATGATAGGCTATAAACCATTGCGGGGTACAGTCAGCTGCGATGTTGGTTATTTTCATCTGGTGCCAGTTCTAGGCAGAAATGGTTTTACACAGTGCAGAAAGGGGTGAAGGGTTTGGGGTAGAATAGGTGGGGTTGTAGGGAAGGGCTGGTGATCTCAGCTCCTCTTCTTTGCCCTAACTCTTTCTGGCCTATATCAAGTGGTCATCGTCAAACATAGTCAGCCATGAGAGGCTTTGTAAGATGCTGCGAGCAGTTGAGAGCACTGGGTGGCTGCTGCTTCTGTGTCTTCAAGTCTTTTTTGAAGAAGTTCTCAGCAGAAGTGGATTCTTGTCTATTTACCTTCCCTGCTTACTCATGAAAAGGGTGCTGTTGCTGTCGGAGAAGTCAGTGGTGACGTGGCAATACCAAGTCACGGAGGACATGCTCAGCATTACCGTCAAGGTCTTTGCTGACAAATCAGGACCTCATCATGACATACACCCCCTGTTCTTCCATCCTGGACGTAATCTGAACCTGGTAGTGGATATGGACAATGTCTTTAAAGAGCCTAGATGCTGCCCTCTGTCATGCCTTACTGAGGACCTCGCCAGCATATGGTGTGGGGCACTCTGCTTTTTATTTTTTTTAAAGATTTATTTATGTATTTGAAAGAGCTACAGAGAGCCAGAGAATGAGAGAGAGAGAGAGAGAGAGAATGAATCAAGATCCTCTGTCTGCTGGTTCACTCCCCAAATGGCCGCAGCTGCCCGAGCTGGGCCAATCCAAAGCCAGGAGTTAGGAGCTTCTACGGGATCTTCCACATGGGTGCAGAGACCCAAGGACTTGGGCCTTCCTCTGCTGCACTCCTAGACCACAGCAGAGAGCTGGATTGGAAGTGGAGCAGCCAGGACTCGAACTGGAGCCCATGTGGGATGCTAGCACTGCAGGCGGCAGCTTTACCTGCTATACCACAGCATCAGCCCCAAGGCACTCTGCTTTATGCTGTCTCAGCATCCTAGCTGCTGATGGATGCCTGAACCCTCATTAGCATACCAAGAGGTTTTAATACGAATTGTTAGTTTAGCAATAGAGATGAGACAGGTTTAATCACCAATGCCACATTTGATCATCCTGGTGCTAATTTGATCCTTTTTTCAGTAAGACTGCAATTTCTCTTATGAGGAAAGATAGAAAGATAAAATTTTCCAACACAAATGGTGAGAATTTTGTCAAGTCATAGCTTCATCCCCTGCATTTTCATTGCTCTTTGCACGTCTCTCAGGGCAGCGGGAGTGCTTTGCCTTATTTTTAATGATAAGTACTTCACAGTTGCCAGCAGTCTGTCCTGAGATACTGGTGAACACCCAGCTTGGCTTGTACCGCTCGGGAGCCAAATGGACTTGATCCCTTGCCCAGTGACTCAGATGCAAAGGCGCAGATTCATGCCTTGGCAAAACGGTTCCCCTCAGGCTGTAACTGCCAGTATCTTCCTAGACTATAGAGGGTTTCCATGAAGTGTGCACAGACGCATTCTCCCAAGACTCTGAACTTTTGGGCAGTAATGACTGTCTCTTCAGCGTCGTGTCCTTGGAAAGCCAGGGCAGCATGTTGCTGTAGGTGTAGCTGCAGAGCAGGGAGGGAGGAAAATTCTCTCTGCCTGACGCCTCTGCTCTGTCCAGCTGGGCTGCAGTAAAACCACTCGCTTCTTGTTTTCATGGATTTTTTTGTTTGTTTTCTTTGTGAAAGTTTCACTTCTAACATGTTTGGATGAGTAATTGGGTAAGTCACTCCTGCTGAGTCTACACAGGTTTATTTTTTTCTTCCTGCTTGAAGTTAAACACTTTAGAAAAATCCCTCAATTTGGGAGTCTTGAAAGATGTTTTCACCACCATTATTTGCTAAGGAAGCTGTATTTCATGGTGATTGGGTGACCTTTGTCAGGCCTGTGTGGAAGTGGCCTTCCCCGGGACCCCTGCCCTCACCTGCTCCCCCCAGGCCCTTCCTGCTGCAGCCCCAGCAGCCCTGTGAGAATCGGCTTCCAGCACAATTCCAGCACCTGTCCTGTTTCTGGTCTTTCCCTGCTCCTTGTCACCCTTGAATCCCACCATAAGCCAGATCTGCGATCGCTGGGATCTCCAGGGCAGGACTGGGGGTTAGTAAAAAGAAACACTGGAAAAGACACACTGCTTTGTGGAACTCAGTGAGCAGAGGAGTGACCTACCCAGAAAACATAGGCAGTGAGAGTGCCTGCACTTCAGCCCCTCCTCAGAGTTCCCGCTTGGAGTCCTTGAGTTACACAGGATGCATCGGCTTATGGTAAACCAGGCCTTAGACTCAAATTAGCTCCGTAAAAGGCCTTGTTAGAAGAATGTCACCTGCTTCTGAGACTGTGAGTGAGCAGACCTCAGGAGGGGGGGGCGCCCCAGGCAGGGCTGGGACCTGCACAGCTTGCAGTCCCGAGGCTCTGTGTGGTGAGAGGACATAGTTCCTGCCCTGTGCACATCCCAGCCAGCTGTGGCCTGAGGTTGTGGCACTGCCTTGTTCTGGGCTGTGGGTTTTAAACATGCAGGTCAGATGGTCACAGGTCACCTTGCTCATCCCTTTGTTCTGGGGGCAAGCAGTGATCGTCGGGACCTTTCTGTTTATTTTCTAAGATAGAACTTTCCAGAAAAACTGCATTCTTCTTTATTCCAATATGAGTTGGGAAGATATTAACTGATTTTGATACTATTTACTCTCATTTAGATTTTTGAAAAGATTTATGTGTTAGAAAGGCAGAATGACAGAGTGAGTGAGTGAAAAAGATCTTTCATCGCCTGGTTCACTCTACAAATGGCTGCAACAGCCAGGTTCTGGCCAGGTTGAAGCCAGGAGCTGGGAACTCCATTTGGGTCTTCTAAGTAGGCAGCATGGGCCCAAGGACTTGTACTTAATTTCTCAGGTGCGTTAGCAGGAAACTGAATCAGAAGTGAAGTAGCTGGGACTTGAACTGGCACTCTGATATGGGTTGCTAGTGTCAGAAGGGATAGTTTAACCCACTGTGTATAACATCGACTCTTATTTTCTTGACTGAAAATCTTCATTCTAGAATTATAGGAGGAGTAGTCTTGGAATTATTTAGCCAAAAATCTTATAGCTCTTTACATTCAACAATTCAAAAACATGAATGAATAAAAATGAATGAATGAATGAATGAATGAATCAGGATTCATTCATTTCAAGGTTCTATGCTGTTTTATGGGGAAGTACCAGTAACTAAAACTGAGTTAGCCTATGTGTCAGCCAGTGCCAGGTGATTCTACAGGTATGAACTCATTTTTATTCTCTAGCACATCTCTAACTGGGCAGTAGTGCTATCTCCACTTTTAGTGTAGAAAATTAAGACTTGGAAAGTTTAAGTATCTTTTTTTAGAAACAAAAGTGGGGGATATTATTAGAGTTGATATAATGTGAAACGCATGAGAAAAAGCTATAGGAGACACAACAGAAGGGTCAGTAGGGCCCGGATCATAGCCTGAAAGGCATGCTGAAGATTTTGGTGTTATGAGACACTGGGTTTTTGGATACGAGGGGTGATGTCCTAACTGTGCCGGCAAAAATGCACAGCATGGGAGAGACTGCCAGTGACCAGGAGGCTGCTCACAGGGCTGCAGCAAGCCAAAGGAGGACCTGAACCAGGTGGCTGCGAGTAAGAAAGGGTACAGAGAAACTTGAGATTTTCTTCCAGGCTTTCCTCTAAGTCCCATCTCTGGGGCTTGGTTTTAAATTTTCTTGCAGAGAGCGCTACTGATTCTGCAATTATCTTCAACTTCAGTGGCAAATAAATACAGAAGTAAAATAGGAGAAAAACAAAAAGTTAAATTTCAAAAAATTTTGATTACACTAGTTATCTTTCGTGGTGAGGAAGTAAAAATGATTGAGCTCCTAGGAGCCAGGTGTTTAGCTTGCACCTGTGACGTATCTATAGTTCTAAGCCTCGTTTACCACTCCTAAGTACCAAGTTCAGGCTATGAAACCAGCAAGTCTCCTTTATTTCACTGAAGCCAAGAGTAACACAATTAAAAAACAAACAAACAAACAAACAAACATGATTTTAGTTTTTCTGCTATCTAAGTTAAAAGTTTTGTACCTAAGGGTGAGTATGATGAATTTAGGGAAGAGGTGTGAGGAGAAGGGGATGTGTCCTCTATCTCTGTGTCATTATGTTTTTATATTCTGTGAGCATTTTCTGGATGAGATTTGCAAACGTGTCCTGATGACTAGTGATTGCTGTCCTCTCTCGGCAGATTTCTGCTCATGGCAGATCTTCTTCCAATGTCAATGGTGGACCTGAACTTGCTCGTTGCGTGAGTCCTGAAGGTATTCCATTTCTCTCATAATGGAAATTGTGCTTGTGAACTTGGCTTCTACTCAGAACCTGCTGGTGCTAACTGATGATCTTCCTAACCAGGGATGTAGTCATATCAGCTCTTAGCCCAGTCAGCCCTACTGGATGATGGTGGAGGAGACTTCAGGATGAATAAAAGCTTGCAGTTGTAATTTAGACTGTCACAGTTTCATGTCTTAAACCCAGGCTTCCTTTATTTTCCCTTGGAGATCTCACAACTTCTAAATGTATTTGCTTCCTCTCAACTTCTTTTGCTGTTTTCACTTTTAAACTTTATTTTCCTTTTATTTATCTGAAAAGTAGAGACGGAGACAGACAGATGTCTTCTGTCCACTGGTTCACTCCCCAAATGCCTGCAATACCCAGGACTGAGCCAGGCTGCAACCAGGATCTGGTAACTTAATCCAGGTCTCCAACATGGTGATAGTGACACAAGTGCTTGAACCATCATCACCTGCTGCCTCCCAGGGTATTGCATTAGCAGGAAGCTAGCATTGAGAGTGAACTCGAACCCAGGCACTCCTAAATGGGTGCCAGGGATCCCAAGCAGCATCTTCACCATTCTGACAAATGCCTGCTCCCTCTCTCTCACATAACAAAAACACGTCTGTTTATTTGCTGTCTGCTGTGTGCTGGGCACTGGGACACATTGTGAAAAGTGGCTTCATCTTAGTGGTTCCCCTAACCCCCAGCATACATCTTGTTGAGTGAGCTTTGAGCCGGGATTAACTTTAATGAGGTATCCTGTCTGGGAAGAATTTCTTAGCAAAAAATCTTAGGGAGAAACGTTGGGAACATTTCTAAGATTAAATCCTCACCACCGATCCCTCTCCTTTTCTTGAGCATTGGCAAAAAAGTCTAGAAGAGTTTTAATTGGAGTTCTTTTAACCCAAGTTTACTTCAATTGATGTTTCAGGGATTGTTAAATTCATTGATTATGTTGGTTTCTGATTCCAGTCAACAAGGGCAAAAGGAAATTGGCGATTCAGATGTTCTATTCAGGAAATATGCTGAGAGCTTTTCTTTAGGTTTAATATAGATTTAGAAATGAATGCACTGCAAGTTATTATAAATATGTAGAAATCAATACAAATGCTTTCTTTAGACTCTGCATTTATCCTCTTTGCAGGTGTGAATGGAAACAGGTGCTCTGAAACCTCGACGCTTCTTGAGAAATACAAAATTGGGAAAGTCATTGGTGATGGCAATTTTGCTGTAGTCAAGGAGTGTATGGACAGGTGAGTAGATGGTGAGGTCACTCTCTCCTCACCTAGGTATACCTTTCTCCTTGGAGTTTATTCTTAATGAGCAAAAGGCCTTTCTTGGAAGTCTTTTTCCTCCTTTCTGATAGGGTCTACACTGGGGCCATCTGTTTTGCCAGTCCACAAGCAATTTGGTGGGGAAAAGAGTATGCATGCACATAAAGTATAAAGCTGGTTTGTGTGCATTTAGGCTGAGAGATAGCCAGGACCTGTCCACGAACCATGGAAGAAGTGGGAAGAATAAGATTGATTTAAAGTAAACTCTGATAATAGTGACCTGTGCCAGGCCCTGTTCCCAGTCTGTACTTGTGTTTTAAATTTTCCCACGAGCATTAGCAGGGAACTGGATGGGACATGAAGCAGCCAGGATTCAAACCAGCACCCATGTGGGATGTAGGCACTGAAGCCAGCAGCTTAACCAACCACGCCACAGTGCCAGCCCTGAGTTAATACTTGAGTATACCAGTAGTCTGGAGGGAGGGCATGCACTCCAAATCAGCCCATGTTTACCTATTCTGGTCCCTTTGTAAGCAGTATGAAGATCAGAAATGACTCAGGTTAGAATCTTCTTGTTTATAAGCCACTCTCTTTCCTGTTCTAAGTGGTAATATCTACTGTTTGTGGAGAATTTTCCAGAAAGTCCTGGAAATTGCAGTGTTTCTATTTTGTTCACATCCCCACTAAAGCTTTAATGCTCCTTATACTGATAACACAGGGTAATGCACAGTTCTCTGCGCCTTTTTTAATTAGCTCTGGGACAGAGCTTGCCACCCAAGTAACAAATTAGGCATCTAAAGTATGATTTCTAAGAACTCATTAGAAACCTCAGGCAGAATCTGAAGTCATTCTTCCAGGAGAGACCTCATCAGTGTGTACCGGGACTGTCTGACTTTTGCAGCCATATGCACTTGAGAGAACGAATGGCTTCTAAGGATACTGTGATGTTCTTTTTTCAATTTTTTAAATTTATTTTCATTGCATTTGAAAGGCAGATGGAGAGAGATCTTCCATCCACTGGCTCACTCTCCAAATGTCCACAACAGAAAGGGCTGGGCCAGGCTGAAGCCAGGAAATTGGAACTCCATCTGGGTCTCCCACATGAGTGGCAGAGGATCAAGGGACTTTAGTCCTCACCTGTTGCTGCCCAGAGTTTGCAGCAACAGGAAGCTAGATTAGAAGCAGAGTAGCTGGAGCGGAACCAGGCACTCCAGGATGGGATGTGGGCATCCCAAGCAGTGACTTAACCACTGTGTCACATGCCCGCCCCTCCAGGGTTCTTTACCAAATTGCTTTCCTGTAGTAAAAGATAATTTCATCTGAACATGCCAAAAATAACTTAAAGTGGTAAAAATAATTTCAAGATTCTTGTATCCAAGTAAATGATCTCTGCAGTGCCCAATATGAGCATTTAAAGGTATAAATAACATGGCACCAGGTCCTAGCTGGTTTGGGCTGAGAGATAATGACAGCCTGTGGACCTCTCGGTTTTCAGTTGTGGGCTCATGTTGATGTTATATTGCTATAAAAATGCATTTATCAAAAATTTTTTAATTTGATCCATTTTTCCTAATTCTGAGTCTTAACAGAACTCAAGAGAACTAAGACATTTAAATATGGAAAGAGTATTTCAGAGAAATTTTAAATGTGAGTTACTTAGTAATATAATATTATTTGTAAAAAGAGATTAATATACAGGGTGGCTTTGGTGTTTTGATTTGTTTCGTTTTGGTTACCTTTCTCCCGAGTCCTCTCAACTCTGCCTTTGGTGCACAGTAAGAGGCGCCAGGGCTTTCTCCCCGCAGCCTGTGCTGTGGTAGAAATCCAGGGTAATTTGCGTCTGTAACTGGTCTACTCTCATTATTCCCTAGGTCCACTGGAAAGGAGTTTGCCCTAAAGATTATAGACAAAGCCAAGTGCTGCGGCAAGGTATGGTGTCCTTAACCGCTTTGTAGGTGAGGCTGACATGAGGTGGTGAGAGGGTTCCTGAGAGGAAGGAGTGGAGAGACCACAGCCTGCCCGGACCACCTGTGATAGCGGGGAAAACAGCCAGGCTTTCTCTTCCTTGCTAATTTTCAGAAATTGTAAAATCCTAAAACCTACAAGCAATTTGGTCTTTGTTCCAGCTACCCAAAGCGTGTGTTCCCTTCTCTATATTTTTTATTTTTTTTATTTTTATTTTTTTGGACAGGCAGAGTTAGACAGTGAGAGAGAAACAGAGAGAAAGGTCTTCCTTCTGTTAGTTCACCGCCCAAATGGCGGCTACTGCCAGCGCACTATGCCAATCCGAAGGCAGGAGCCAGGTGCCTCCTCCTGGTTTCCCATGCAGGTGCAGGGCCCAAGCACCTGAACCATCCTCCACTGCCTTCCCGGGCCACAGCAGAGAGCTGGACTGGAAGAGGAGCAACCGGGACAGAACCGGCACCCCAACCGGGACTAGAACCTGGGGTGCCGTTGCCATAGGTGGAGGATTAGCCTAGTGAGCTGCAGTGCCGGCCGTGTGTTCTCTTCTCCAGAGATGCTTATAGCAAGGCGCAGGTGCACTCCAGGGCACTGTGGGCATGCGTGGCTCTGAGGCTTGACCCCACTTTCCAGTCTCCTGGCTTCACGGAGGCTGGTAGATGACTCGGGATTTGTGGGTCAGAGACTAAAGACTTAGCAGGCAGCATGGACCCACTGTGTGCACTGGTCCGTCTGGCCCCCAAGTCCTGTGGCAGTGATGCAGGGGGCCTGCTGGCTGCTGTACACACAGTAGGATTGTGTCACAGCTGAGGAACCCATGCTTAGGGAACCCTTAGTCCCTAGGGCACTGCCACAAACCTGCCTACCTTTGCATCGGAGAATATTTTGATTATCCAGACCAGGAAGCAAATTCGCCCTTCGTTCTGCTGAGGGGTGATCCTGTCTCTGTGATGCAGCGGTGTTTTCCATACAGACCTCCTTGGAAAGGGTTTGAGAGCACAGCTGAGGCACAGCATGCAGCCACATTGTGAAGAATTGCCTCCTTAGCAGCATGAACTGTTTTCTTTTTCTTTAAAAAATTATTTATTTATTTATTTGAAAGTCAGAGTTACACAGAGAAAGAAGGAGAGGCAGAGAGAGAGAAAGATCTTCTATCCGCTGATTCACTCCCCAGTTGGCTGCAAAGGCCAGAGCTGTGCCAATCTGAAACCAGGAGCCAGAAGCTTCTTCCATGTCTCTCATGAGGGTGCAGGAGCCCAAGCACTTGGGCCATCTTCCACTGCTCTCCCAGGCCATAGCAGAGAGCTGGATCAGAAGTGGAGCTGCTGGGACTCAAACCAGCGCCCATATGGGATGCCAGCACTGCAAGCTGTGACTTTACCTGCTATGCCACAGTGCTGGCCCCAAACTGTTTTCTTCTTTCCCATTCTGAGACTGGGGCTGGGAGAACACCAGCCGATGAAATGCCGCTGGAGTATTGGTGCTTTACGCTTGAAAAAAACGGTGTCTACCAGTAACAACAAATACCTTTGCAGAGCCCTGAGTGATAGTACATCAGTTAGGAGAGCAGCCCTGGGGCTGCCCTGTTTGACACTGCAGCTGCTGGCCACGTCCTGCAGCTGAGCACCTCACATGAGATTAAACTGGAGTGAAATATGCTCTAAGGGTAAGATACACACCAGGCTTTGAAGACAATACTTAAAAAAAAAAAAATTTCTCGTTAATATTGTTACATTTGGGCCGGCGCCACGGCTCACTAGGCTAATCCTCTGCCTTGCGGCGCCGGCACACCGGGTTCTAGTCCCGGTCGGGGTGCCAGATTCTGTCCCGGTTGCCCCTCTTCCACGCCAGCTCTCTGCTGTGGCCAGGGAGTGCAGTGGAGGATGGCCCAAGTGCTTGGGCCCTGCACCCCATGGGAGACCAGGAGAAGCACCTGGCTCCTGCCATCGGATCAGCGCGGTGCGCTGGCTGTAGCGCGCCAGCCGCGGCGGCCATTGGAGGGTGAACCAACGGCAAAGGAAGACCTTCCTCTCTGTCTCTCTCTCACTGTCCACTCTGCCCGTCAAAAAATAAATAAATAAAAATATTGTTATATCTGATTGCTGATGAAATGATGATGTTTTGGATATATTGGGTTAAGTATCTTTTAAGTTAATTTTACCTGCTTTTTACATTTTTAATGTGGCTGTCAGGAAATTGAGAATTACATGTTTGCATCACATTGTATTTGTGTTGGGCAATGCCACTCTAGAAGGAGGTTATATAAAGTTTAGTCCTGGCTGGGCCTCTTTTTGCTGTGTGACCTTGGAAAGATTATTTAACCCCTCTGTGTTTCTGTTTCTTCCTCTAAAGCACGGGTGGAAAATCTTTTTTCTGCCCAAGGGCCACTTAGATATTTATAAAACAGCATTCAAAGCCGTACAACATGATCAACTTAGAGATTAGCCTGCTATGCATTCACTGAATCTTGAGTCCCACGTGTGGTTGCCTTGTCAGGACCAGACCAAATGATTTCACAGGCCTTAAACAGCTGGCAGGCGTTCCCACCGCGGCTCTGGAACGCGGTCATTTTTAATACCCAAGACAGGGTTATTGTGAAGACTGAATTAAGTCATGGGCACCATGAAGAAAAGGACCAATATATAACAAGAATTCAGCGCACGTGAACTACTATCACTGTTGATGTCAGAGGAGTCTAGAATTTGGAATTAGCTGGCTTTGATATAATAGTAATTTTTAACTTTATGGAACTCCTGAGCTAGTCTTCATTGGACAGCTATAGAATAGTGTTTTTTTTTTGTTTTTTTTTTTAAGCAGGAAACAAAGTATTCTGGTGAAGCTTTACAAGTCTTAGTCCCAGGGCAGAAAAACTCGTTACTTTTTTTGTATATTCTGATTATTAAAGAAGCAGAGACTATGCAATATGCTCCCTTTTCTTTGAATACGATTTTCTTTATATTTATTTTTTATTAGTTGATAAATAAAATTGTATGTATTTATGGAATTTATATTGAATTTTCTTTAATTCTGTGTGCTTTTGTTTATTTTTCTAACAGTATTACTCATTTTTTCTGACTCTAATTGCCTTTTCCCCATGTGTAAGTAAGTGTTGCTCTTTGTCTGTAGTATGTTTTAAGCAGAAAGTGTTCTAATTTGGGGAGCCAAGTTCTATATGACTATATTAAGACTTATTTCCAAAAAAAGTAAAAATTGCTACAGTAAGAATATTGTTTATTTGCTTAAAATTTAATTAGCTTTGCATGCAAAAACAATTTGGTACACTCAGTGCTGAGGCAAAGTGGATATACCATTTATAATATTTGGATCTGGTTTTTCCTTGTCATGGAGGGTCACTCTATTTTTATAAATAATGATCATATATTTATATCCGTCCTTGCATTTTGCTTATTTGAGCAACTATTTCCACAGTAAAACTACATAACATTGCAGTTTCAAAACCCAGTTTGTTACAAATTAGTTGATTATTTTCCACTGAATTTTAGTTTTAGGAAAAAAAAAGGTATAGAGAATTTGTTTTGTTTTTAAAGTTTAGGAGTGTATTCAATCACGATGCTGGGATGTTGTCAGTCACCTCTGCATTGTGGGTTACATAGCTTCCATTTGTTACAGAATAGTGTCCCTCCAGGCTTAGAGCTATAGGAAGTTTGTTACAAGTAGGTTCTCTTTAGTGGCTTGCAAACCAGATTTAAGCATTTTGCAGATAAGGAAGCATAGACTGCGATTAAATAACTTCCCTGAGTCACACAGAGGCACAGCAATGGTTGGGATTGGGGGCTGCTTGGTCCCATGGACTCCGCATAGGCCAATCCAGCAAGCTTCCTCCCCTGTTCAGTTTATTCATTTCTTCTTGTAGTAAGAACCTGGGAGAGTTGTTTATCTGTTTTGCCTTCTCTTTGTTCTTCTGTAATATATATGAGCGTTATTGGATCAATTTATTCATTCACCTAATATTTACCAAGTATATTCTGTATACAAAACACTGTTCTGGGAATTGGATAATTTAATATGACTGTGTTTCTTTTTTTTTTTTTTTTTTTTGAGTGAAGTATTATTTTATTCCATTTTGAAGAGTCTTAAAAAATACATTATTTTTTCAAACAAAATGCTTCAAGGGAAAAGAAGAAATTTGAATTGCATCAAATACCTGGCTCTTTTAAAAATAACCTGTTGAATTCCAACAACCAAGAGTCGATGTGAGTTTGTTTGCACAAATCTAGTTGTGCACGTGGGAACAAGTGGACTCAGGTTCTGAAGTCCAGTGAGTTCTGCTGTAATGATGTTGGCTTGACTCACAGATCAAGGGTTTCACTTTGCTGCAGGCGATGCTCTAGTGTGTCACTGAAGAGCTCTCCAGCATCTCAGGGCTGGGCAGCAGTGGCGGCAGCTCTGTGATGTCAGCAGCAGTGTTCTCTCTCTCTCTTTTTTTTTTTCTGCTTCCACATTTTTTTGAAACTTTTATTTAATGAATATAAATTTCCAAAGTACAGGTTATGGATTACAATGGCTTCTCCCACCCCATAACTTCCCTCCCAACTGCAACCCTCCCCTTTCCCGCTCCCTCTACCCTTCCATTCACATCAAGATTCATTTTCATTTCTCTTATATACAGAAGATCAGTTTAGCATATATTAAGTAAAGATTTCAACAGTTTGCACCCACATAGAAACACAAAGTGAAAAATGCTGTTTGAGTACTAGTTATAGCATTAAATCTCAATGTACAGCACACTAAGGACAGAGATCCTACATGAGGGGTAAGTGCACAGTGACTCCTGTTGTTGACTTAACAATTTGACACTTTTGTTTATGGCATCAGTAATCTCCCTAGGCTCTTGTCATGAGTTTCCAAGGCTATGGAAGCCTTTTGAGTTCACCGACTGATCATATTTAGACAAGGTCATAGTCAAAGTGGAAGTTCTCTCCTCCCTTCAGAGAAAGGTACCTCCT